ACGCCACCGAGCTACTCGACTAAAAAGAGAGAAATAATACCACAAATTTTTATTCTCAATGTATTTCAATAATTTATTCGTATTGTTGACAATCTATTGTATTTATGGATGATTAAAATTTCTATTTGGTACACATGGCTGCACGTCAGTATACCACAGTCGAAACTCTACTGTCAAAGTGCAAACTGAAGGTTTAAAATCAAGTGGATAAATTCGATAAATTTGTATAAAGTGACGTGCATCCGTGATGCTCTCTAATGTTTATTTTCAAAATGTAAATCATGAAGAATGACAGCCCTATTGTTGTTTCAACAATAAAAAATAATGTCAGAATTTTGATATTATGAAAATAGGAGTTCTTTACGTTTCAACGATTATAAAATCCAGTGAAATTGGACCTTAGCTTTGATGTGGCCTCGTTTGGTCGAGGGGCCAGCACTGAGTGGCATATGGATCGCTGCCAAGACTTATTAGTCGAAATGGAAGCTATATATTCTTCTCATATGAAATTCTATAATTCTTATATTATAAATTTAAGAGTATTTATTTTTATATGAAAGAGTTAAAAAATCTATTTGTTTTTACAGTTTAATTTGAAGATAAGTATGCAAAATTGTATCCATTTATTGCGATATTTCATTGAACATTTTGTAGTTATCTCTGAGTGTTATTAAAATAAATATCAATAAAATAATAATGATCGATAAATGTTAATAAAAAAAAAATGACCGACTTGAAAAAATCATAATACAGAGAAACGACTGAATTAAGAGAAATAATACCACATTTTTTTTTAATCGAAACTCAAGAAATGGATACACCAACGATCTTTTTTAAGGTCGGTGCCAGTTACGTCATTAGTAAGAAGTAAAACAGCACTATCAGAAAATTTATTTTCTTTTAACATACATCATGATAATTTATAAAAAACTGCCGACCTCAAAAAAAAATTTTTGTATCCACTTTCTGTTTCAATTATTATGAAAATAAAAATTTGTGGTATTATTTGTGGTATATTTCCTCTCATTTTAGTCAAATATATATACACGCATACATAACATATTCCTATAAAACGTAGCACACGGGTTTAGAAGCGCATATAGACTAATATGTATAATTATTGCACCGTATTCCAAAAAAATTACATACATACAGGGTAAATTGTTACCTCAGGTCGTACAGGTCAAATTAAGAACCTGTACATAAACAGGCTCTGACATCCTTTTTTTAAAGTTGGTTAAAGACAAGGTCATCAGTTTAAACCCCTTTTATAATTTGACTAATGCGTACTCCTTTTGTATATAGCTTAAATAGTATATATCTTCAAAATTATTGAACTGATTTTGATAAAACTTGTAGTATACCCTAAGTTGAAAGCTAAATAAATAAACAAAATCGGACAAACATACAGACACACATAGATACATACATATATTAATAAAATTTAGCATATTTGTTTAGCCCATACGAACCAACATATATTATGTTAATATTACGTCATTCCAACGATATTACACACATACACCTTGAATTAATAACCTCCTTCTTTCTAAAGTCGGTTGAAAATAAAGAATATACTTTTAAAATAAAGCACTAAACACAAAACACCAATGTTCCACCATAGATCAACAAAAATAGTTTCGTTATCAAAAAAAAAAATCTAAAGAATTCCCGTATAATTGTCAAAAAATTGAATGTTTATAAAGCCCTTTACAAAACCATAGAGTGGCGAAAGGTGTTATATAGAGATGAGAGTTTGCACATTACTCGTCCCCGTTCCCATTTAACTCGCCCAAAGCCCAGTACGTGACAATCGGATTTGGTTTCTATAGTCATGTCGACAGCTGTTATAATAGATGTCGATAGATCTTATACTTACTACTCTTTAACTCGGTTGAAGAGTCGCTTGTTTTGGGTTGGCAAATATATTTTAATTATTGATTAAAATTCAATTTAACCAGTTTTGTTTATTCTTTCTTCACAGTTAATAAAAGTTGTAAGAATTCTACTGTACCAAATTACAATAATCAATTTTCGCCAGTTAATTATTTTATCTTATAATAATAATTTATCTTAGGTGAAACCTTTTAATATTTTACTAATACAAATAAATAACATTATGTTGATTCGTGCTAATACAGCAGAGTAAAGTAACAACAGGTTAGAATCAGAGCCACTTTGGACAATATATTCGACTGTATTTCTCCATGTCACTATGTCATTCAATGGCATGAAATACTAACAGATGAGTAAGTATTATAAAACTTATTTAAATAACTTTAATGTTAAGCGATATAAGTAATTTCGATTTGGTAGTTTCGGATCTCTGTTTGATGTTACAGATTTCTATAAACACAAGTACTTTATTTATTTTGGATCACACCGATTAATATCTGATGTTGTTTGATATTTATTTAAAAACAACGAAAATAAAGGAGGTTTTCACTTGTATTTGATACTATATAATTGAACGGTTAAAGCACCGCACAAATTGTTAAAGGTTCTGAATTTGGATCAGATCTCGGACACCTGGGGCTGTTGACTGTGTTAAATATTTGTCTATAAGATAACTATCAATATAGAATAATGTAAGCGAAATTTATGAATTATAATAAGAACGAGGTATTATAAAATTATATCGATATATTTTGTCCCATCATTATTGACGCGCCATTCAGCTCTGTACCTCAGTTAAGCGGATTGCAGACAATTTGACTAACATCTATAAATCACCCAAACCTCTCCAAAGTCAAAACATGTCGCGAAATTGTGTGACCGTTTACAAATTTGTTAGATGATTCTCTTATTTATTGTTCTCTTTAAAATATTAATATAGCAAAATGGTTATTATGAAATGGTCAATATTAATGACTTTTTCAACCTCTATTCTTACGCTCTATTGGCGTAATATAAATGTATGTTTTTATTTGTTCTATTCGGCTACTGGCTTTGCTTCAGTTATTTCGTGGAAGGAAAATATCCTTAAATCATAAGTAAACATGGTTCTGCTATCAGAATTCCGACCGCTTAATTCAAAGTCAAAGCGATAGCTATAAATACGTTATATTTTTTTTATAATAAATTATTATATTAACTGTTTAATTATTCCTATATTGAACCAATGATTCAGTTTGTTTTAATTTTAAGTAATAATAATTACAGAAGTTTGATTAAATTGAATTAAGTTAAAATAAGGATAAAATTGAAAATTATGGTAATAATATATAGATATGGAACATCATTATAAATGAAAATTTACCATAAGTTATAAAAATATTAGTCTATATATCTTGCTTAGATCCCAATTAGGTGGCAGTTGTAAAAAGGAAATCTGAAACAACAAGGTTTACACCCATACTCAAGGCAGTTTTCTATTATTATTATTAGACCAGTGGGCCAATTCTGAAAATTTTTATGTAATAATAGCATCACTATATAATCTCAACTACTTGCGTTTGGCCTATAGGAATCGAACCCCCGACCTCAGAGATGACGACGCTTTGATACGAAAATTATGTGTTTATAGAAATTAAGTTTCTTTAAAATCGTGTGTATGAGTCTCGAGAATTATTTGATAAATGGACTTTTTATCTTACACAACGTTGATTTTTACAGAGGTTTTGATATTTGTATAGTTCCAGAATTTCTTCGAGGACTTATAAAATTAAACTGCAGTGGGGCAAGACCAATATTTATATTCATCATCAGCATCAGCTCATTGATGTCCTGCCTTTCCGTTGAATGAAGTCAAATAGGGATTACGGGCCATAATCTACCACGCGGACCGAGCTGATTGGTGAGTGGTGACTTCAATCGGACAAACATAGCTTATCGTTCCGTCCGAAGCACGGTTTGAATGGGCTCGATACAATACATATTTGGACACCCATCCTATACCTGTTATTGAAACTACATATATTGGCGATAAAACTCACTTTATGCAACATCGCCAAAAATATGTAATACTACCTGTAAACTGTCATATTTTTAGTAAATAATAAATAAAATATATATTGAACTATTCAATAAATCCAAAAGAGATATTCGAGACTACTACTTAATTAATAAGATTCTCTTTTTCAGATCTACAAACTGTTTTTTATCAAACAAATGTTTACATGTCTCGTTTCTAGATAATATAATTTCATTCGCGAGAGAAAATCTTCGTGAAGCGAATGCTTAATTTAGATTTTTCAGAAATGTGATCAGTTTGTTTTGTGTAGTTAAATATAAGATAATATAATTTCATTCGCCAGAGAAAATCTTTGTGAAGCGAATGCTTAATTTAGATTTTTCAGAAATGTGATCAGTTTGTTTTGTGTAGTTTGTTTGTGATTTTTCAGAAATGTGATCAGTTTGTTTTAACCTTCCAACGGTTTTCATTAATAATGAAAACCGTTGGAAGGTTTTCATTATTAATAACAACCATAACGAAATGTGTTTAATTAATTTCACTTAATTAAAAAATAATTGTTACTGTAAAATATTGCAGCTTGTAGTATCTATATAAGAAATATACAAGGATACCTACTTGAATATGAATATGATGAGTAGCTCAGTAGCGTAGTGGATAAGCGCCGCGGCTCGCGATCGTTGTCGTTAAGCAACTTTCGCAAGGGTTGGCCACGGGATGGGTGACCAAAAAATTATTATCTCGAGCTACTCCGTGTTTCGGAAGGCACGTTAAGCCGTTGGTGCTGGCTGCATTTGTTGTCGTTAATACTCGCCAATCCGCATTGGGCTCGCGTGGAGGGCCATGGCCCATGCTCCTTAACCATCCATAAGGAAGGCCCGAGCCCTTGGAGTGGAGACGAAATTAAGGGCTGATGATGATGATAAAAAATTAATTGTTACTGTAAAATATTGCGTTTGTAGTATCTATATAAGAAATATACAAGGATACCTACTCGAGTACCTGTTAAAGAAACGTTAATAAAACTAAATACAAACGCGATAAAACCGTTTTAAGGTTGTGTCATTTTTGTAAAACATCAACTTACCTCGATGAATGTGTCGGACACAAATCTTTGGACCAAAGAGGTTTTCCCGCACTGCGTGTCCCCAACCAGCACCACCTTAACCTCCTCCTCGGAGGTCGGACTGGAGTTGGTGCCCTCCGAACCCTTCTTCCCAGACCACATTGCAGAGAGTACTGTCGACAAATAAATTCAGTTGTATATTTGATCATAGCTTTATTCTCTTCGATTATTTGATTTCATACTTAATATTATTAAGAGGAAACATTAAAGCATTGAATAGCTTCAAAAATTACTACTAGATCGATCGATTTTTAGAAATTCTATCAACTATGGGAAGCTACACCATACGCGGGCGATGTAGGCTATAATATACGTAGGCGAAGTCGCGGGAAAACAGCTAGTAATACTTAAACACTCTTCTTTACACTTAGTCACAGCAAAAGATCTTGAGAGAAAGAGCCTGGTGAATCTGCGTTTGCGTACAGCAGATCTAATTCCGATCATAACCGAACGTCATCATCACCAGACCCTTAACGTCTCCTCTGGTGGGGCTCCAGCTTTCCCTATAGAGGGAATCAAACCAAATAGGAGAATGTCCATTATTAATTTTCGTCATTATTTTAATCGATATTACTGTAAAAAATATCTTAACCCCAAACAGTATAATTCAGTCGCGTCAACTCAATAAAATTCAGCGAAAAAAAAACAAAAGGGCTCAGGAATACGCCGAGGAGCCAAATATCGTAAATCCGCAGGTGCTTAAGTACCCATCTGTGACTCAGAAGTAATTTTACGAGGGTAGTAATAGGCACTCCATGAGATCGGCTGCGTACTAAGACTTAAATGTGTTTTAGTAATTATGTGAAAGGTAATATTTTTTTTTAATAAAAGTTTTTCATAGAGAAATGTTTAAAACACTCGATAGCCTTAGAAGTTCTAGAAGGGACTTGACATTTTCAGAACCCGTGTGACTTCGTTTACCAATTGAGCCAATTAGAGACCAAATCAAGATTTTCGAATTTTTCAAACGATAATTTCTTTATTAGTGAGCGCATTTTAATCAATGTTCAGACAATCTAAATAAGCAGCCGAAAGAAATATTTTAAGTTTTGACTTAGATGAAAATGTGTTCTAAATACATTTTTTAAAAATCAATCACAAAGTTTAATGGCATATAAAAATAAACTTAAAATTTCTACACACATATCAAATAGCACGATTAATATAAAATTTACAAATTATAACTTAATAGAATTTATATAAAAAAAATCTTCTAACAATTAAGAAAAATTAATAATATCATTACGCAACAAATACGTTATGAGACTATTACCTAAATCCATTGCCATCCGAGCCATTTTGTGATGTTATTGTGAATTTTATAATGAATTTCATATATTGATAGCCATACTCCTAGAAGTTAGTTTTATTTCCAAGTCTTCTATACTTTCTATTCCAAATTTAAATGGAAACATATCAAACTTCAGTAACAGCTCTACTGAGTGAACCGAACAGTCTAAAAAACTGAATATATGGTTACCCTCAACGGCATTGAATCTCTCAATAGATATTTAAACACGGACAATGAAGGAGTAATTTTTGCGAAAACCATTTTTTTACGGCTATAAATATTAACGTTCCTTTGTACTATTGTTAAATTTATTACGGTTCGGAAAGGCTTAGGTGTTGAGTTAGAATTCGGAATTAAGTGGAATTTAAGTAGGCGTAAGGTCATTCGGCTCTATTTCCCTTTAATTGATGAGGAAAGTTGTAAAAGAAAATTGATTCTTTCGTTTTTATCGAACTCTCGAAGGTTTATGGGTGTTTAAAGACGATCTCTTTTGTAATGTTGTCATTATTCGCTCGAAGAGATTTCTTCCTGTTGTTGGGAGCAGTCGTAAGCGACAAGTGTAGATTCAACTTATATATTGAAACGATTTTTAAAAGGAGGCAGATGTCAATTCGACAAAAAAAATATACACTTTACTAAAGTCAAAATAACACAGTTTACAGGAAAAATAGTAAATACCGTAAACAACAGGCGGCCTTATTGCTGACAGCATTTTCTTTATCTATGTTTCTTTATGATATCGTCGTTGTATATTTCAGAATTTTTTTGGTAAATATTAGACTTTTTTATTTTTAAGGGTCTGTACCAAAAGTTTTATGACTTCGTACTACTCGTTTGTTTGTTAATAAATTGGCCAGTAACCATCTAAATACTATTTTTTATAAACTTAAAAAGCATCAACTATATAACTTTATAATAAAATCAATCAACTTTATTCGAAATCAGGCGGTTAAAATCGGGTAAGTTATTTCAGTTAAAATTAAAAAAAAAAGGGACTCCAATTTGTTCACCAACTTTTATTAAGAAATCTTTCTTTTCGTAATCTTTACAGAAAAAAGGAAATGAAGAGTGAGATATTCAAAAGAATTATCCAGTTTTAATTGAGATATAATACGTATATATAGAACACATGAGTGAGTATATACATATATCTTGGTCATAGTAATAGTTTGGGTTAACTTAGACCAGTGTTCTTTAAAAACACAATAAATTATTTAGTATATAGAAAAACAAACTAAATTAAGCTAAATCGTTCATCAGTCATTCATTACGACAAAAGCAATGCAATTTCAAAAGATTTCACGTGAATATTTACACAGTTACATCACGTGTTCGAAAACAATTAAACATAATTATGTTGTTCTCGATACAAACTGTGTTAACAAAAGATGCAAAGTTACTAATTTCGAGTTCGGAAAGACTATAGTAAGTGTTGCGGTAAGTCTGTAGCTGAGGTGTCCGAGTGGTTAAGGAGTTGGACTTGAAATCCAATGGGTTCTACCCGCGCAGGTTCGAATCCTGTCCTCAGCGACTTTTTTTATTGGTATGTTGTCATTTTTACGATGTTTAGATCCTTAACAAGTTAGATAATAAATATACGATAAGCTAAACTTGATTTTATTTACAATTTTATCACTACTATAAATTGTACAGGTCTTTTTTTTCTGCGTAAGTTTGAGTTTATTTAGCTATTTAGTCAATCATATACGTAATTAGATAAGCAGAAACATTTAGATTTATCCTTCAAAAGTAAAAATTCAAAATTTATTAGGCGTAAGTAAACAAACGTATTAAAAGTTAATTTGCTGGCTATTTTCATTACACTTGATAAATTAATACTGACTTGCAGCAGCTGAGGTGTCCGAGTGGTTAAGGAGTTGGACTTGAAATCCAATGGGTTCCACCCGCGCAGGTTCGAATCCTGTCCTCAGCGGATGCACTTTTTTACAATATGTTCTTTCGTATTCTAATTTATTAATTATCCTACTTAAAAAAGGAATTGATAAACGCTTTTTAATAATGTGTTGTCTAGAAAACACTTTTTATGAAAAAATATTAAACAAAAATAGTTTTATTAAAAAAATACTTCATTAAATCGGTTTCATAGTTTACATAGACGTGCTAAAAAAAATAAAATTTAAACTTAATGATAGTTATAATAAACCAACCAAGCGCGTGTCGGACACACACACGAAGCGTTACATATTTTATATTTACATTATCTATGAAAAACGCAAAGAACACGATTGTTGTATGGGAACTCCCCAGTAAATATTTATATATTATTTTATTAGTATTTGTTATTACAGAAGTAACAGAACTTTTATTGTCTATCACGGTTTATGAGATAAAGAGTGTTGAATGTCGGGCAGTCAAAAAGATCCCATCAAAAACATTACATGTACAAAAATGCACAAGTCTCACAACGCAATTCTTCTGCCGTAAGAAGTTATGAAATCAACGTAAACCAAGTCGATTAAATCAGAACCTATCTATCAGCGGGAGCAGCTGTCGATCTATCCTTGTCATAAATTTAGGGATTTTTAACATATTTTTGATGGGATCTCATTTCTTTTTGTAGGTATATAGTTCTCCTATTTTTCTTTTCGGGTATTATATCTTGAGCTTCTGTTATGAGCGTTGATAAAGATTGTTCTGTGGACTTTTCAAAAATTGTTTTTGGCAAACCTTGGATAATAATAAACAGTTTGGGATGTCTCGAAAGTGCCACATGCGCTTGACTAATAGATACAGCTTGATGAGCTATTAAAATTTAGTTTTTGATTTTTATTATCATACCGATCATTATACCTATGGATATAAGGTCTAACGAAGTTCATTTGATGGCGTTTGTTGGCCTGCCGTCGTTAGTCCACTGTGTATGCCACATAGATTTATAAATACATTTTTCTTAGGGTATTATTTACCTTATATGTATATTATACTATTTACTCTTTTATTAATGTCTATGATTTAAGTTCGTATTGCATATACTTTACTCTTTGTTGTATTGCTAAACAACCAAAAACATTAACGGATGTTTTCAAAACAGTTATTAAAAATCCGAAAAACTAAAACACGGGTCTAATATTTCATATTGTTAGATTTTGTCCTTACCTTTTATGCTAAATAATAATAATAATATTTATTTATAATAATAATAATCATGTCAAATACAATCAGTAAATTGGAACTAACCAAAAAGACATCTTAAAATACCTGTAGAAAATTCCAATAACTATAATGAATTTTTCATAATTACAAGACCTGTTTCTACATATTGATTCATAATTAAATGTTTATTTAGCGGTAACGAACGAACAATGCAAGTTAAATTGCCGGCTATTTTCATAACAGTTAATAAATTCGTAGACACCTATAGCAGCTGAGGTGTCCGAGTGGTTAAGGAGTTGGACTTGAAATCCAATGGGTTCTACCCGCGCAGGTTCGAATCCTGTCCTCAGCGGATGCATTTTTGTTTGTGGACTTTGTTATTTTATAATATTATTGTAAATAAACTTTAGCAAGTTATAAATATAACATATCTACTTAGTTAATATTAGTTTTAATCGATATCATAACTGTTGTATTAAAATTCTATACAATCTATTTTGTGTAAAAATAAATATTACCTTAATAATATAATACAAAGAAACAACAAATACAATAATAATTCTTTGTAAAGATTATTTAATAATTAATATATGTTTATCTACAATAAATATCCATAGTAAAATTTTGGATATTTCAAAATACCTACTCCAAATACCTAGGTACTCGGCTGGAAGATTGAGTGGTTTGCATTAAGGTAAGTGTATACTTGACGGAAGTTGAGATGACGCGGATCATCCTTCGTGGAACGTCAAAACTAAAAAAATTTTTCAAAGAAAGAGAAAGTACATATCTACTGATGTTGTTCCGATTGATAAATCGTCAAATTTATACAGACTGAAAAGTTCAGGGTTTAAGTCTTCCCACAATTCCATTTAGTGCATTTGCACTCAT